TCCTAATGATTGGGTGCTCTTTGGTAAAAGGATACCAGAATCTTGCCTTATAGGCGTGACCCATTTCCCTCTAACCCCCAATAAGAACAAACAGGAACGCATAAACTATATGCAATTGGCACAGACAACGTTTTTAGTAGTCAATAGTGTCGAAGACCTCTATTCTATTCCTTCTTAAAATTTTTTGCTTGAAAGTCTACCATATTTAGTCAACTTATTCTAATAAATATAAATTCAGAAAAAAAAAGCATTTGCGTGACAAATGTGGCAATGGTTCTCATGAATTTTTTGAGATGGGAAACCTATAGCCTGCCCTAGGCGTTCACCTTGTAAGACGGAACGAAATAGTCAACGGCGCCGTTTACTATCGAGCTTCGTCGTACTTACTGAAATTGAACATGCTAGAAAACCTAGTTGAACTCCGTAAAGATACTTTGACAACTTCTGAAGTTGCCAGTTTAACTTTTATCACCTTCAGCGTTAGCAGTCAGCCATATCTTACCCCTCTAAGGAACGACGAACATTCCAGATATTTCTAAAGGAAAGCCTTTATTCAACCCTTCGAAACGGGGCCCAAAAGAGCTATCATATACAGAGTGATACTGGGCTTTCGTATTTTTCAGATAATAGCATATACGATTCAGGCTGAAAATTGCAATACGTATTGATCTTGTCCGTTTTTAACCATCCTCTGCCCATCTTGGTTTTCTAATGACTCTTTTTTTGTCTTTCTCCGGGCAAACTATTTTAACCCTAAAACTCCAAAGATCTCGTCCATAATTCCTCCTCCTAGCTTCTTCAGATTTCCTTGTAATTTAGTTGAGAGAATTTGGAGTTAGATTAAGGGGACATCTTCTACCTGATAAGTTTGAGTATTCTCATAACCTGTTTGCCGGATAATGTATGGATATTATTGGGAGAAGTTTCATTTTCATCACTTATGGGAGTTAAGGGTTAAGACTATTGGCTTTCCTCCAAGTTGTGACGAATATCTGAAGAGAAGTGAAAGCTTGGTAATAATGAATAGATCGTCCCGCATGAGAATTGTTTGTGTTTATCCTCTTTTCTTTTTCTTACTGAGTTTTTAAAAATTAAAATTATAGATGCAAGAGCAATAATCGTGGAAAAAAGCCAATAAGTCCCTTGCCCCACTCCCCACGGTTTATCATTTGTCGCAGCGAAGTGGCATCCCGTGCACGCTTTTTCCCGCCAAAACTGAAACTTGTCCAGGCGCAAAACAAATTTTGTTACAAATACAAACTGAACTACGGTAGTTTTTTCTGTGCTTCTTTCCGCTCTATAATCTCAAATAGCCATCATGAGAAGGAAACCGTGCACTTGCCTTCCTTAGAAATCTAACTGCTCGTTATTATACCAAGGTAAGATATTGTTTCAAACTTGAATTCAATTTTTAATTATCCGCATCTCGGAAGTCGTTTCTAATTTGCCGAAGTTGAGTCTGAGTGCAATGGTTTGTGTCCGATATTAACATGATATTTGTACTTTGTCTTTCAGGGGATATGTTAAAAGGAAAATAAAGTTTACGCAGCTCGGTCCACCTTGACCCATGGAACTACCACAGAATTCTCAAGCTCGACATATCAAACAAGGCTTTGTGTAAGTATTTTACTTCAAGTAACAAATTACGTTCGCATCTTTTTCTCGCAGTTTAAGAATTTTTTCCTATAAACTCCTTTTCAAACGTTTTTATCTGGAGGTTACATGTTCTAATCTTTCGATGTTCATCTTCATCGATATATATCATGCATGCATAGATGAAATAATTAGCTTTTGTAATTAATCGAAATTAGCGTTATTTAAACTTGTTTTTCATGCATTAAATTGCGGTAGAAAACGCCTAAATAATCTGTGCTGGACTTTCGTATTACCTGTAAATGACTGATGATAGAGGTGAAATATTCCCAGGCTAAAGTTAAAAAAAACCAATTAGTCCTTCAGCAGAATTTTTGCAGTCACTGTTGTTAATATTCATCAGACCAAGAAAGCCTTTTGTCCTTCCCAGGTTTATGTTTATGACTGTGAATGGCTTCCAAAACTCAAACTTACCTAAACATTTAATGGCTTCTCTCGTTATTCACGCTATCAAAATATCAAGCTCTGTGTGTTTGGAAAATGGAACAAATTAACCCTTACTATAACCATGTACACGTATTTGGATGGTTGAGAATCCAATCACTCTTTGTTTACTTGGTAAATAATCTACCTGGTATGTTGGTAGAACATACGGAAATAATCGATTGTAAGTCACAGCAGCTCGAAGCAAAAGGGACTGTTTTACAAACTTTTTGAGTGCATTAGTGGAAAGAGTGCGGTCTACTGCTTTTAAAAATTTAAAAGTAATGTTCTCTTCTATATTTCATTTATTTGTTCATTCACTTTTTTGGACGAAGCAGGAGTTCTTTTGACAGTATTCACTGATGTCGAAAGAGTTCTATTTTGTAATGTTTTAATTCATTTTGACAGTTTTTCTCGGCCGTGTCTCTGGTTAAAATTAAACAAGGAAAGATTTTTGTAACAAGCTGTAACATTTGTCTTACAGGCCTCCTTTTAAAGCAACACGTCGAACTGTCCAAATACTGCCTCCGTCCCCGCCAATGTTAGACGACATACAGTCACAAATGTCCCAAAACAATCTCTCTTCCACACAACTTTTCCGTTCAAACGCCGACTATTTCAACAACAGGAGATTTAAAACTTCGTCCAACTCTATGGACTCATCATCGTTTGTTACACAAGCATCAACTCCAAACAGCTTTGCTAGCCAATGGAACCAGAAAGAAAGCGAGTGGTTTGTAAGCAGCTCGCAGCGCACCCAATCCAGGTATTTACAACCATCGTTGTTATACGATGAAGAAGAAGCTGATAATGCGCATGAAGTAGTGGCACAAGATTCACCAGAGCTCTTTACTCAACACAGTGACTTTCATTTACGTGGTGCTCCGTTCAATGCGTCTGAACTGGACATGGAAGATTCAGAAGGTACAATAGCTCTCTTATGTTGTGCTCTTAAGATGTCGTACAACAGGCAAAGGCTCTTAGGCTTTCCTGAATTAGTGCTACTACATTGTATTGCATGGTGTTAAAATATTTCGAGAAGTAATATTAATATAATAAGTAAAAAAAAATTGGTCACTTTTACCCATGATTTCTGAACCTTTCTGTCCTGTTAGTTCCGAAGATGACTTGCTAAAGAACACTTTTGATGTTTGGTTACAGGTTTTACGATATTACCAAAACGCAAAATTGGGCTCAGAATCACCTGTAGTTCACTTATTTGGAAAACTGAAGCATGTAGTAACCTTAACTGATCAGGTTTGAAAACGAACACTCAAACAAATATTATTTTCCCAGCATTTTAAGCTTAATCCGTAATGCTAGATGAATCTTGATCAGGAATGAGTGCACACATAGCAACGTTTTTCGAATAAACCATATCAAGTTTCATTTCTTCTTAAATTATTTTTTGTCAGGTTTTGCTTTTCAAGATGATGTCCCTGAAGAAGAAAATAATCAAAGCTTTTATTTGGCCTCAGTCCCACGGCATAACTTTGACACTCCAGCTCAACTTTTTATACCAGGTGAAACGCCATGTTTTTTGTTACTCTTGTCTTAGTGTGTTGTTGAATGTTGTCATACATAATGGCTTTAGAAATTCAGACAATTTTGCAAATTAATAGATGTCAAACACAGGTCTACACTATTGGCATAGCTTTCAGAGGTGTGTTTTCTACCGAGAGCCACGCATTACTCACGCGTGACGGGAGTATATTGCACCTGCCTTCACTTGCCTGAAAAACGTGAAAACGACAAAAACAGGACTTGGTTTGTAGGCTTCGATCTCGGTGGATCAATAGTGACAGACGCATTGGTAGTTTAATTTCAATAAATATTTATCTCACCTTGTCTTTTATCTCAAGCAAACTTGTAATTTATTTGCTCCTTAGACTATGGAGATCAACCTGAGAACCCGAATGCAGGGATAGGGCTTCGCTCTGTCAATGAGATACGTATCCTCTCTAAAAATAGGAAAACTTTCAATAGTTAAGTAAGAAAACAATTTTCAACGAGTTAAAGTTACAATGATGAGATCAGAATAGCGTTTACTATACTGCTCGCAGGTAAATGTAAACGGTCGGAATACTAGAGTCGGTACCAGAGGAAAGAGAATCGCGGTTTGTTTCGAAAGAAAGTTTCGTAGTTGAAAATGATCGATCTTTCCGATGGAAAACTTTAAAAGAATATCCCAGTCCGCTTAAACTTCGGATAAAAGGTTTATCTTGGTAACTCATAACATAAATTGATATTATCCAGTTGAAGTTCTGAAAAGTATATATGTTGAGCATCTGTAGCTTTCCTTGATCATACAAAGCCAACCCATTTCGTTCAGTATTTAGCAAATTTCCCTACTTTAACATCGTGCAGTCAAAAGTATTTGACGAGGTAAGCCTTGCTCTAACATTGCGGTAATTAACATGAGAGTCTTAACATGGCAAATCTGATAGGGAGGAGAAATGATGTATAAGAGCTTCAAAGAGGGGCCAGGCCATGAACTCAGCGAAGAGCCTCCTTATAGTCATATTAAAGTGATGCCAATATATGAGAAGAATGGTAACAACTGGTATTGATTTGAATGAACATTCTCAAAGATTCCAATCTACTCTTCATGACACAGCAATCCTTGGCTTTTAAGGCCTAATAAGGCCGAAACAGCCGTACATGGCAGCTGACAGGATCGCATCATTTTCCCTTGTTTCTTCTCCTTTTCTTCCCTCCTTCTCAATTTCTTGTTTGTTTATTCTTTTGTTTGTTTTCGATACTGGAGGCATAGTGTCATTATCATTGTTGCCTTGATGGGCATTCTGTGTTGCACCACTTGTACCTGTCATCAAGGCAATAGGTAGTTTTTGATATATCAGAAGCAATGCTTGAAACATAAAAATCGGAGCTTGTCAATCTATTTGTAGTGGAAGTCTGTTAAAGTAGTATATGTAGGTAAGGATGCTACTGCCTGTGTCGTTTCACTAAGTTCTGAGGCTTTACCTTTTAATAACAGGTGATGTACACTGATAGACCACTTGTGGTGTGCGCTCCAACAGGTTCTGGCAAAACAGTAATTTTTGAGCTTGCTGTTATTCGTCTTCTTATGAGCTGTGAGGGAGGACTAAGTACAGCTAAAGTAGTTTATAGTAAGTGTCTATGTAGATACAACAATAAAATCTCAAAAAGCTGATAATTTAGCTTTATAAGGCTTGTCTTCCGGCCATTCACTAAATAAATTCAACATGAATTTGAAACGATTGCGTTCGTAAATAGAGGATGATGCAGTCACGGCGTAAGCGTTGCTAACCGCATCACGTTTCTTATATTATTTCCAACGTCATTTTCGTGTTAATTTTTTAACGCTCAGTTAAGATATAAATTAAGTCTTTCCGCCTGATTTTGCTCATGCACAGTGGCCCCTATGAAGGCATTATGCAGTGAACGCTTCACTGACTGGTCGACTAAATTTGGACCGTTTGGCTTAAGATGCAAAGAAGTAACAGGCGATAGTGAGTTGGATGACCTTTATGAACTGCAGAGCGTCCATGTGATAATGACCACTCCTGTAAGTCCAACTATCGATCGTACTATAAGCATACATGGACATTGGTCGCCTGACGAGCCAGTTAACCATTCATTTGTTTACTGAGTCAAAACTTCAGTAGGTAGTTGAGTCAATCAGCGAATTACTGTAAAGAGTTTCTGAAGCTCGCATTTCGAGCGTTAGCCCTTCGTCAGAGCAACTAGAAGGGGGCTTTGGAAAATCTTTACGGTGGTCAGTTTACATTATCAACTCAGTTGATAAAACCAATTATCTTAAATACCCCCCACTGACGTAGTACTGTAGTTTCTTTAGAAACTTACCCCCTTTCGACAGTCAGTAGTTTAGTTCGTGTGTCAGCCAGTCAGTAAGTTATTAGTTAGTTTTTCGATAACTTAGCCGGCCAGTCACTCAGTCAGTTGGTCTGTCAGCCAGTCAGTCAGTTAGTCATTAGATCATTCAGCTGGCTAGCCATTCAGTCCGTTGGTTTGTCAGCCACTCAGTCAGTTATCAGTTAGTTATTCGATCAGTCAGTCAGGTAAAGTCTCAGCATCATTGAAGTCTTTTTTTTCCCTTTCGATCAACAGGAAAAATGGGACAGCATGACAAGAAAGTGGAGAGACAACAGATCCCTCGTGCAGTCAGTCAAGCTTTTTCTCATTGATGAGGTACCTGACTTTGAACTGCAACAGGGTTATGACTGGACGCAATGAACGCGCAAATCCTACTGATCCAACATGATTAACATAATTTGTTTGATAGTAACCGGATTATTCATTACTTTATATCTAACTTCGAGAAAGGCTTGAACTTTTAACTTAACTAAAGGGCTTTATCGAGTTAAAACTTGAGAAAATTCAAAATAGGAAGCAATTTGCTGTCCATACTCCCTAATATTTTAGGTTCATCTTATTAACGATGACGCAAGAGGAGCCACTGTTGAAGCTGTCATCAGCCGTATGAAGACCGTTCAATCCACTATGACCCGCTGCAGCACTTCAGGAAATACCAGCAGTCTTGGTAGAGCGGGCATGCGACTTTTGGCTATCTCAGCTACCATACCAAACGTGGAAGATGTAAGTTTCCTCAGTACAGTCACTGGCCAAAATAGTTACATTTAGGTCTCTTCACACCCGAGGGCTTGATTTGGGAGAGAAACATGAATCGAGCTGAAGGAAAAACTTAACACAAGCAGATCACTCACTAAACAGAGGTAATAACGCTGTTTAGCAATTCTTCGATGGAAAAAAAGCTTCGACCATTATTTTTTCGGATAGATCAGGAAAATGACTGCTTTTTCGGGGAAACTTAGAGCTGAACTACGCTTCCTTGTGGGGTAAAATATGAGGTTAAGTGTTTATATTTTCGTTTAAAACAGATTTCAGCCTGGCTTGGAGGGATTGATTCTCCTGCATCTCACTACAGGTAAGAAATAATTTTCCTAAATTTTTTACGTTTAGTATTCTTCGTACACAAGAATTACGAAATGAAAGTTTTGTTCCAATTATGTAAAACTATTTGCTTTCTATAAGATGTAAAATAAAACAAAGAAAAAAGTATACAGGAGGGGAGGTTGTTTTCAATTCCATCCCTTCTTGCCCCTTCCAATGGGACTCTAGGACTGGGTGGAAAGTATATCACAAATATTATGGCGAAAGCCTAATTTCTTCTCCCTTTCCACCCCTTTCCCCACCTCTACCTCACCAAGCCATTCCCGTTTAGAATGATCTAAAAGCTCATTGAACACCTTCTTTTGCAGTATGGACGATTCACACCGACCAGTGAAACTACGTAAAGTTGTTCTTGGTTTTCCTAAGGGGAATAATTTCTCTGACTTCCGATTTGACTTGTCTCTGAATTATAAGTTGAGTGGCATCATTCAAACTTACTCAGATCGGAAACCTACTCTTGTGGTGAGCAAAATATACCGGATGGTTACAAATAAAAAGGTTGAGGTTTATCTTGTTTAAGGAAGGAGTTATTCGTGATAATGCATAAATATGTTTAGTGGTATGTATTCCTGCGTTGAAAAAATAATATTGCGGTTTATTCTAAACCAGTTTTGTTCAACACGCAAGAGTGCTCAGCAAGCAGCACAGACGCTTATGAAAGACGCACGCTTTATCATGAACTCAGAACACAGACAGAGGTAAACCGATTGAATTTTAATTGCTAGGACTGTAGAGTTTGGCCTGTTCCGTTTAGCAATTAGCTGCATAACTGAATGAGAAATGTATCAAAAAGTAAGTGTGGCTGTTTGTAATAGATCGCGAGTTAAACAACACTCGTTTATCATTAAGTCACTAACACCACAATTAGCCTTACATGTAACAGTGTCAGAGCCATGTTACATTTACGACAGTGAAACAGTTATGTTACGACCCATTGAAGGTGAAGAAGAAATTTATTTACATCTACTACAACATTAATTATCTTATAGGCTTCAGAGGATTGCTAACTCTCTTCATGATTCTAAACTGAGAGGTGAGTGACATGCATTGAGCGAAACACTTTGCTTGTGATGAAAAGCCAATGAACAGGGGGTGAAGTTATTTTCAACAAAGCGGGGTCGAAACTTAATCAGTGAATTTGTGATTTGAATTAGTTTTCACACTATGTATCCGAGGTAGGAAAACACCTCGATGTCAGTCCTTTGAGTACTTGGACAATTTAATCGTGGTCTTGGTATTGTCTTTTGTCTTTTTTTTTCACATACGACTTTACTTTGCAGAGTTAGTGATGTGTGGGATTGGGTACCACCATGCAGGACTCGATCCCACGGATCGAAGAAACATTGAAACAATGTTCATCAAAGGCGACTTGCCTGTACTGTGTAAGTATACACGGAGACTATCGGGTAGTCTTTGACCCTGAATAGTTTTTACTCATTCTTGCCTATCCATGTAGTAATCAGGGAGTTTGTCTCATATGAACCAAGTATACATCATAGCTCATCAATCGGAGTTCTCTTAAAACAGCTTGGTTCGTTGACCATCAGCCCGCACGATCGGAAATTCTCTAGCTCAAAGAAACTCTGACTTCATTTTGGTCCCCTACTCTAGCCAAATGTTTCACTTATGTCTTCCTTTACTTAGTGAAGAAGTTGTTACCTGAGTATTATAGTACTTTTGCTTTCCTTATTTTTCAGTTGCAACTAGTACTCTGGCTGTAGGAGTAAGTTTTGTTTCTTTGTGTCTTTTTTATCGATTTCCCAATAAAAATACGATAGCATCTATAACATTTCATAGAGTGGATCTTCAGAAGAAACCCATCTTTATTTGTCACTAAAAAAAGTAATATTCGTCAAAGATTAATTTGAACAAGAGTTTCATTGTCAGGTAAATCTTCCCGCTCATCTGGTCATCATCAAGTCAACATCTCACTACGTCATGGGCGTGTTTCAAGAGTACTCAGAAACACAAATACTTCAGATGATTGGAAGGGCAGGAAGACCACAGGTATTTTCACCGATACTAAACGTAGCAAGACTGTCATTTGTGGGAAAATCCTAAACATTCGTGAAACATGGCTGACTTCACCGTTGGCGTTTTGTTTGTTTGATTATTGCAAGGGTTTAATCATTTACCTGATAGGAAATGTTTACATCTCACAAACCAGTCTCATTGAATACGAATTTTCTTTTTCTTAGTTTGATTCCTTCGCCACTGCAGTCATTTTGACAACAATTGCAAACAAGGTATGTTATACTGTGAAAGTTTTGTACGTTCCTCTCTCATTGAGGATTTTAATTTTACACATGAATCCAAATCAGAGCCGGAGGTCCTTTCCTCATTTTAAAGCTGTTAAGATTTCACAAATACCCTAACAAATAAGTAAGACTCTCAACAATCCACGATTTATAATTGCCCGTATCTCCATACGGGCCGAGAAAGGGCATCTTATGTGACATAGTTTTAAGAGAGGAACAGATTATCCTCTCTTGGCAGAAATTAAAACTTAAGTACGATTATGTGCGTTAACCTTAGTGAAAGAAACTGTGCAGTCTACCTTTTTTTATCATCCCTATTATTTTCTTAACTTGTAAGATTTTGAACTCCTTATTTCTGCCTTGTGAGTCATTCGTTAAGGAAACAGGTTCAATTAACGAGGATGAACCGTGGTTTGTTGCAGGGGGTTTTGAAATAATTTTTGTCTCAGTCGCTCCAAAGGCAGAGAAGTGTAGACCACCAACTTCATTTCAGCGAAAACTGTTGCGAAAGCAATTTACTCGAGGAAAAAAAGAACAAGACAACTGAATCTAATGTTTCCGATCATTTTAATAACATATTTCTTTCAAATTCACAATTGACGTACGTGAAAGCATTACAAGCGATTGCAAAGAGCGCATACGACTTCCACATTCATAAATATCTTTAACAACACTTTTTCATATATATAAAAAAAAAGGAAATCAGTCTTAGAAGAAAAATGCTGGCACCTCGCGTCATGTAAATCACCTGTTAGTAAAAGAACAATAACAAGAATAGGTAGTGAAAACCTTGAAAATAATGCGAATCACGGTTCAAGATTCTGTCTTTAAACCAAGGCTATCAATACCTCAACAATTCCAAGGCATAGTCGACTACTTCCTCCGTATGGATAAGTTTTAATGTATCACCCGACGCGCGTAGGGCAATCAGTTACTACAGCCTAGGCTGCATGAGATTTTGTACAGCTCAATCAGAAGAGAGCGTAGCTTGTTGCACTTTCGCTCTTAATTCTGCAAAGGGTCTCTTGTTTCTACATCTCCTGGGAGCTGATCGTGAAGTCTTAAGAATGATAACGCAACGAAGAATTATTTTAAGATGAGCATTCAAATGAATATTTATACAAACCTGCTGGGTCTGATTCAGCACTTTGCATGGTAATCAAGGATTCACAGTTTCTGATGGATTAGTATCATATGCATGAGACTGCTCCACATAGGGTACTTGATAGGATTAGATGAGAAACTCTATGTAAGTGTCAAGTGTAATAACACTAAATTTCTAAACCACTAATTGTAGCTACAATGACATAATCATCTAAATTCCTAAGATTATGAATACCCCATTCGCAGACTATGCCTAATCATTTGATTTCTCAAAATGTAATTTTATTTACTCAAATAGTTGGCGTCCAAAGATTACTTAAACGGATAGAGAGAATATTTTCCTGACATACACGGTTATAAAGAGTAGAAAAGATTAGGTTGCTTATCAACGAACGCTCTAGGTATCTCATGCTTGGGTGTTAAGAGGAACTAGAATGTAAATTACAAACCTGTTGGGTATGGTGATAATTGTTGGACTTGCATCGGGCCAGATCCAACGTAGTTATGAGGAAACGGATTCTGTTCCGCAGGTATCCAAAATCCCTGATCCATGTCAGGCATGTTGTTATTTGCCCATTTGTTTGGTCTAACGTTCATAGTTAACGGAGTGTTGGAAGACGAGGGCAGTGGACATGGTGCTACTCCTGGTATAGTCCCCACAGGATTAACAGCACTTGGATTCTGTTCTGCAGAAATGTTTATCGGTGGGGGTGTTGGCCAATTGTTGGGGAGAAAAGGCCTTAACCGTGGTGCTTCTCCTGGAAACCGCCCCACAAGATTACAAGGATGTCGATTCTGTTTCGTAGGCACACCGTTTCCGTGGTCTGTATAAGCCATGTTGGTTGGCCATGCGTTGGGCACAAGGTTCATCGGTGTGGGAGTTGGCCAATTGTTGGGAAGAAAAGGCCTTGGCCATGGTGCTACTCCTGGAAACGGCCCTACATGTCTTCTAGGATGTGGATTCTGTCTAGTAGAGAAACTGTTTCCTCGGTCTGTGTAGGCCATATTCGTATTTGGCCATGCGTTGGGCGCAGTGTTAATCGGTGGCTGAGTTTGACGAGAGTGAGAGGCAGGATACAGTACCCTTGGTGTTTCCACCCTGCAGTGTCTCCCTATAAAAGAGAAAAAATATATTATCTATTTATTATGATGGCAACCGGTATCACGTATACGTTGCTCGACTTTGTATTTAACTGCTCTCCATCTCCTTACATTCCGTTGAATCGTGTTGCACTGACTCAGTTTTGTTAAGGGGTATGCATAGACATGTGCTCTATTGCCATACCCTCGTATTCCGTTGTGTTATAACTGTAGTAAATTGCGACCTGATGCAGCACTCTCCTGGGTAGCTTTGTTGGCTTTCTGGCGTTCTTTTTAACAGATTTCGCCGTGCCTGGTTGAGAGTTATTTGTTCTGTTGCATTCAATTTGTGCAGTCCTCTGCACTACGTTTTGGCCTAGTAGCCTCTGTTGCGTTGAATGAGCAAGTTGCATTATGCTGCATTCACCCCGGTAAAAATCTTACATCGTAATGAAGCGAGAAAAGTCACGTAATAACAGTTACGTGGCATTACTTCGCACGCTGCTGAGTTATATTGAATAATACATTTGTGTTGTGTCCCTCCCATCTGAGCTGGGTGGCGTTTTGTTGCATTCCTCTGCATCGTGCTGCGCTTAAAAGTTCTCCGTTGCGCTGAGTCACCGAGTTCCATTAAGCTGAATTTTACCCTAGACTATACTTAGTGTGTATGATCTTAAGCTGCTTCGCTTAGTCTGTGCTCTTACTTGATCTCTCCTACTTACCTGGTGGGCCGGGACAGATCCTTGGCGGGAGATAACTTGGTTTGGGATGGCTCCACGGAGGTGCCTCCAACCCAAGCATTTGTGGAGGACCGCATGAACGCATTCGCCGCCGCTCTTGGGCTATCGGCTTGTCGTAACGTCTGCCTATCGATGCTTTTTTCTTGGGTTGCACCTCTTTATTTGGATAAAAATTCTGTAGATAAATTATGCCACAGGAAGCCCGTTAGCATAAATTCCTCGTCAATCACATCTAGAATTAGATTATTTAAAGGAATTTTGAACCTTTTTTTTTAGGAAGACTGCTTTAATATCAATTAAACATTTTAGGCTCTGGGTAGAGATTGTGGAAGATAACGATATTCGTTTTCTATAGTTAGATAAAGAAATGACTAGCTCCAAAAGAAGAAGAGGTTAATTTCAAAAGATTCACACAATCTGCTGAAAAAAAAATTCTAGACCTTAGTTGCTGGTCGAAATTCTCTTGCTAGAGGGTTCAATGTGGTCCCGTTGACACCACTGTAAAAGTAAACAAAACGAAGAGTATGTTAAGTTGAATCGTGACTTTGTAATCTAGTATTTTGAAAGACAGAACTATTCTCGACACCCTTCTCCGCTGTACTCTTACCCTCCAACCTAAAACTCAATCACCGTCTAACATCTCCGTTAATTTTTCAGAACATAATCTGAGTAAGGATTGTTTGCCACTAAGCATTTGCAGGTCCTACTCCTTGAACAGACCAGCTTCACAGTATAATCAGTGAAAATTTCGGCCGTGAAATCTCTTACCTTTCAGAACTGGTGTGCGCAATATATTCACCGTGGCTGTTATGTTGGGAAACACCAGAGTTCTGCGTCAAAATTTGTAAAAAAAAAAAAACCATAAAATGACTATGATTAAGTAATTTGATCCTAAGTTGTTGTTTTTCCATTATTCTGTCAAATCTCACGTATTAGATTGTTTCCTAAAAAAGCAAAAATTTATTGCCTGAAAAACGAATGGAGGCCATATCTACCTTTCTAGAAAAATAGCAAATTGTCAAACTTGATAAAACGTCTTTCACGTCACCTGTAGGAGGCTCAATTTTTTCTTCAGAAAAGTGAGAAAATGTTTAACTCAATAATAACTCTTTCTTGCGACCTGTAACTTGCCTCAATTCAGGTTTACAACCACTGTTATTACCTTTTTCACACGAACAAATTCATGGGTTGGTACCCGTTCAGCTGTCTTTCTGCTGCACTCTGCATCTTTTTCGTTCCCTCTTTCGGGGTCACACACGTGAACCACCTGTGTAGAACGTGGAAACAAACGTGTCATGGTGATTTTTCCCATAACAAACATTGTCTTCTAATTTGAATTATGGATCTCTTACTCAAGAACGAAATGGAGGCTTAATTCACCCTTATAGAAAAGTAAGAAAATGTGAACTTAACGATACCTCTTTCCTGTCATCTGTATCCCTGCTCGACACAGGTTCAAAACCATTGTCATCAATTTTTTCCTCACGAGAGCAATCGGGGAATGGTACCTGTTCAGCTATCTCTTTGCTGCACTCCGCATCTTTCTCGTTCCCCATTTCGGAGTCATGCATCTGAACCACCTGTGTGGAACGTGGAAAAAAATGTGTCATGTTGATCTGTCCCAAACCAAACATTGCCTTCCAATTTGAATTATGGATCCCTTACTTAAGAAAGAAATGTAGATTCAATTTATCCTTTTAAAAAAGAAGGAAAATGTGAAACTTCTTAATACCTCTCTCCTGTCGCATGTATCTCGGCTGAATTCAGGTTTACACCCACTGTTAGTTGCCTTTTGCGCAAGAGCGGACTCAGGAGACTGTACTCGTTCAGCCTTCTCTCTGCTGCACTCTGTATCTTTCTCATTTCCTCTTTCGGGATCTTGCTCCTGAGCCACCTGTGTGGAACATGGAAACAAGTGTGTCGTAGTGATTTTTCTCTTAACAAATATTGTCTTCCAATATGAATTATGGATCCCTTACTTCAGAACGAAATGGAGGCTCAATTATCCCTGTAGCAATATAGGAAAACGTTAAACTTAATGATATCTCTTTCCTGTCATCTGTATCCCATGTCAACTCAGGTTCACAACCTTTGTTATTTACTTTTTCAAAAAGTTAATGACAGTGGTTGTGAACCTGCGTGCATTCGGGGTATGGTACTCGTTCAGCTTAACCGCCTGTGTGGAAGTGGAAACAAACGTCTCATAGTGATCTGTCCCACGTCAAACATCGTCTTCCAATTTGAATTATGTATATCCTTCTGCTAAGAATGAAAAGTAGGCCCAATCTACCCTTTTAAAAAAGAAGATGACGTTAAACCTGGTAATACCTCTTTCTTATCACATGTATCCCGGCTAAACTCAGGTTCACAACCATTGCTATTGACGTTTTCCACACGAGTGCACTCTGGGGTTGGTACTCTTTCAGCCTTCTCCCCGCACTCTGCATCTTTCTCGTTTCCTCTTTTGGTATCTTGCACCTGAACCGCCTGTGTCGAATGTGGAAACAAACGCGTGGTAATGATTTTCCCCATGGATCCCTTACTTCAGAACGAAATGGATGCTCAATTTACCGTTTTAGAAAGACCGAAATGTTAAACTTGATAATACCTCTTTCCTGTCATCTATATCCCGGTTCAACTTAGGTTTACAACCACTTTTATCAGTGTCTTCCCCTCGGGCCCCTTCGGGGAATGGCACTCGTTCAGCCATCACTTTGCTGCACCCTACATCTTTCTCGTTCTCTCTTTCGGGGTTATGCCCCTGGACCACCTGTGTTAAACGTAGAAAACAAACGTGTTGTAGTGATGTTTACTATAACAAACATTGTCTACCAATCTGGACATGGATCCTTACTTCAGAATGGAATGGAGGATTCATTTAATTATTCAGAAAATTAGGAAAATATTAAACTTAATAACACCTCTTTCCTGTCAACTTTATCCCAACTCAACTTAGGATTACACCCATTGATATTTTTCTGGATCGATCGATCGCCCTATCTGTCAGACTAGTTGTCTGAAAGTGTGTATTTGGCTTCAATTTCTAAGTATCCATGTAAAGAGTACTAGTGTTGTGCACTTAATTTGATTTTTGGTCTAATGTGAAGAAAAAAGGGGGTTTTAGGTGGCTCTCGCACTGCCAGGGTCGGTGGTGATTTTGGTGCTCCTTTTCGAAAACTCTGATAATACGAAATTGAGATAAATTGTATACCTTTTCTACTACGTCGCTTAAAGCATCCGTGTCATCACTTCCGATAAAACCCTTCATGATTTCACTGACGGCGAATAACGCCTGCCACAGTGTGACGAAAGGCATAGTCGCAGATAGTGAGAAAGGTTGAGAAAAGTTTGAATGTGTCTTTGTTAAGTGACGTCACAGAGGTAATTGATGCTGCGCGTGCGGTTTTCTAATCGTTAATTGGTGAAATTAGCTGGCTTTTCGTCACTGAAACTGTTACTAAGTTAACCAAAAAAGTTAGCCGATTGCATGAAAATAAACAATAACTGGGACTTCAGTCTATATTACTCGCCCTTTATTAAGCGGTTACTGATTAAATTCCCCTAATTCACGTCCCATATGTCCTGTAATTAAATCTCTGTAATCTCCTCATCTCTATCAAGTGGATTCCGACATCCTTTCCTCTTCCTAAGTTTTACAATTATTTTGCTATGCATGTCTTTGAAACGGTGACCTTTAAAAATAACAAATTAATTTAATGGATTCAAAACCACCGGGCTATCACATCTTACGCGGCTATGGTAGATTTGATTTGATTGATCAACTTTCATTCGAAATCCTTTACTTCTCTTTGATGCTATAATTTATTTTGCAGGAAAAGTATACCGGCCTTCTTGAAGGCACTCAGAAATTGGAGAGCAGGTCTGTTTCGCATGTGAAGCTTACTAAATGTTTCGATTTGCTTTAGCTCTTTTGTTGTGCATAAAGAAAAGAAGTCCTTAGCGCGCACAGAATACTTACCTTATTTACAATAGACAGAGGGTCCAGAGAATGTCAACTCTCCTATTATTTCTCATTCGCAGACTTTGTTTTATTAGATTATTGGTCATTTGCTGTCTAATGTTCTAGCTGTCAAATGAATGGCTGTTTTTCATAGCCCTTAGCTCATGATATTTGTTTTAAGTCCTCTGTGAGGTGTGGTAAACTTATCCTTTTTACCTTTTTTACTGATTGAATAATGGTCAATTGTTTATTGCAGTTTGCACCATCACCTAATCGAGCACTTGAACGCAGAAATAGTCCTTAACACTATCACAGACGTTTCTATTGCCATAGAGTGGTTGAAGTCCACCTTCTTGTATATAAGAATATTAAAGAATCCCACACACTACGGTAAGTGTGGCATGTACGATAGGGATATTCCATTGTCATCCAGCATCTGGCGAAGTGGACAGAGCTGTAGGTTGATGGTTCTCCATAATAAAATTCTCCGGTTAAAACGGAGAATTGAGAATCCAGTCATTTAACGATTGCAACTCAAATTTAGAATAATTTGCAAGCCCAAAGGGGTATCTCATCGTTAAAGATGTTTCTCTATGTCAAAACCTTTTAATAAGTTTTGAAGTAAATGGCAAACACTGCTAAGAAGGAGGCAGATGGAAGTTCTATCTGTATTTTGATGACGTTAATTTCAGCAAAAATAGGCGGAGATTGCATTTGAAATAGACAACAAAATTCGCCTGTTGCCAGCTGTCATTGAATGCTGATTATTTTTGTTTTCTTGTTCACCTTATATAGGGATACCTGAGGGACTTGAGAAAGAGGGTTTGGAACAAAAGTTACAAGGTATTCACAACAGCATTCCTCGAATTAGTCTATAATACTGTTTGATTTTTAGTTTTTGTTTCTTTCTGCTAGTTTTTTTCTCTGCTTGTTCTTTTGTTTTGTTTTGCCTTGTTTTCCTAAGTTTTTATCGATCAATTCAAGTAATATTCTAAGCTAGTCTGGTGTGATATAGGCCTACATGGTACGAAAGAGGCTTCCGTGCTTCTACTTACGGTAAGTAAGTCCTAGTAATTTTAGCCCTTGCTACCTTAGGTCTGTCGAATCAGAAATAATATCATGTATGTTCTTCTTTTCTTTCTCAAAAATTCTCAACTATTGATAATCCCAAACCATTCACTTCGAAGACAATCCAAGCTCCTTCGAGGAATATTTCGTCACTAAAATTTATTTATTTTGCAGATTTTTGTTTGAAGAGCCTCAACACACTGGAAAAGGCTGGGCTCATAAAAATGGACGACGGTTTTGATCTCAAGCCCACAGGTGCTGATGCAAACCATTCAGTCTTAATAGAATAGAGCACAGTATGTGAATTTTAAAACACATCTTCAAAGTGAACCACAGCAAAAACGTTGGGTTAGGAATTGAGGCCGGAAGATAAACTAGTTTATGACAGAACTGGAGCTAAGAACGCTATCCACTTACTCGTAGAATTGATTCACATGTGACCTCATCGCACAATTTCAGAGCATAAGTAAGGAAACAGATGATCTTCGGTGGGTTAAATATAATATGAGACCAAATTAGATAAAACATTTACTAGAAGATATATATATATATATATATAAGTGTAGTTAACGGTTTACGTTAGAGGTAGAGGGTTTCATTGACCTCTACTCCTTTTTTCTTTTGAAAGTGAAATATTGATAATGATGATATAATCTTTCATTCAGAGCCAGGTCGCCTGATGGCCAGATACTGCATTGCTTACGACTCCATGAAACAGTTTCTTAACATCAAAGGAACGGAAAGTCTTAGTGATATGGTGAGTAGTATTCCTATTCTGTCTTCGTGCAGCGTTGATCGAGAAACTTGATATTATTCTTGAAGCACTAAAAATATGACGCAACGTAATGACTTTCAGGTTGATCTGGTGTCCAAGTGCAGAGAATTTTCCGATGTCAAGCTACGAATGAACGAAAAACGAGTACTAAATACTCTAAACAAGGACAAAAACAGCGAAAATGTAAGGTATAACTGTACTACTAGATGACCCTTTCGGAGCGTAAGTTTATATTTCATGCTCGAGCTGTCATTTACAATGGACAGCAAGCTTCAATGTTTGCTCTGTTTTATTTCGTTTTTTGTCGCTGTTGTTGTTGTTTTTTCTTCACGGGAAGGTTTCCAATCAGTGGAAGAATCAAGTCAACGGAACAAAAAGTTAATTGGTAAGAAACTGAATAATGCATTTTTAGTTCCTCTTAAACCTTTCATGTGATTAATTTTGTTAATGAAATTCTAATAACACTTTTTCAGCCTTATACAAGCCACGCTTGGTTCACTTCCAATAGCGGAATTCTCCCTAAGCCAAGATGTTGCGGTCAGTTTGCACATTAGCCTTTTAATTTCACTTCTAATATCTTAAAAATCAATCCTTCGCACTGTCGGCCAAATATCTCTTATAATTTCATCTCTTATAGTTTGGTGTTCAATGGTCAATTTAATTTTCATTTCATTTTCTTTCTTCTCATCAATTTTTTTCCTGAAAATGTTTTGTTGTTGTGAGGTATAAAAAAAAATTATTTTCGGGCAATCCTGGGAGTGAAGGGTTGAATGGTCGTAGTGCATTTTTTTAACCGTAACTCAAGCATACAATCCGTTAGATGGCTTGGAAAAATCGTTTTGAATCAGAAATACTACAATTAAAAGACCTTTTGTCTGAAAATGAAATTGTTAGGCAGGTTAACGTTTCTTTAAATCTGATAGTAGGAAACCTTTCATTTTGTCGTACTAACTTACAGTTTTTGTTTTGAGCAGAAAATCTTTCGAGCCGGACAAAGAATTACTCGCTGTAAGTAACGAAACATTTGGAGAAAATTTGCATATGTTAACACCATTCTCCCATTCGGTCAACTTTTAATAAATACTCCTCTCTGTAATAACGGATTTCTGGAGCTCCGTATCACGGAAAGTAACTTTCTGATGACTAATATCTCCACCACAAAAACGTTTCATAAAAACTCAATGACGGTTTTTCAATTTCCAGGTTTGACTGAGCTACAAATGTTGAATAATAATTTTGTGTCACTTCAGAATTCAGTCATTCTCGCGAAGTGTATGAGAGCCAGGTAACTTTTGTTTGAAAGTTTGTGTTTTTGCTTTTCGTCTCACAACCGATTCTGTCGTTTGATTAGATTCAGTTTTCACAGAAAACTAATTTGTGCAGTAAACTTGAAAATTAAAAATCTGTTGTAGATTATGGGAGAATTCCAAGTTTGTCTCAAGGCAACTAGAGAAAGTTGGTATGTTATTCAGCTCTTGGTGCTTTGGTATCATTTTAAACATTGCCCTGTCCACACTAATGATATGACACATCCTAAAAGGGTCTTGAGGGAAATTTTAATGAGATCTGATGGCTAAATCACTATATGAAAGCACTTTTGCTCTTCTTGTTTTTTTGTATCGGATAATCCAAATATTTAGACAGGGTGCAAAATATTTCTAGTAGGCAGTTAACCCTCACGCTCTATATATTAAATTCTCTCTACTGGCCGCAGAATATTTCTTTATTTATTCAACCATTTTTAAAACATTTGTGATCCTTGCAATCTGATTGGCTCTCACTGGTGTAATTTATTCATAAATCGCACTATTTTATGCTATAAATTGGTTTTTTTTTTCTCAGCCAATCAGACAGCTTTACTAAAACACAACAACCAACCAATTACAAAGCTTGTTTAGAGAAATCAATTTAATTGCTGGAAAATAAAATACATCTTTTGCAACTTTTTACAAACCAGCTCAATATACTGGATCAATAAAATATATGTAGAGACTAACGAAATTTGACTGAATTTTGGGATTTTAAAATAAATGTAATAAAGTGGCAAATGAACTTCGTGTCCTGCAAATTTGGTCTGAGATTATACTTGTGATTTCAAATAACGCGTATAATTCCAGACCAAATTGCATTCCACTCAGTTCAATTACTGAACAATTGTAAATTGGTTTCGAAAATTTGGTTTCACATCAGGTGTCACCCTTCAACGGATAAGTTTGACAATTCTCATCACTTTTTTAAAAGGATAATGATTTTAAAGGGTGAAACTCAGCTTCCACTGACATCCCCTGTGGCAGTCTTTGTTTTAAATTTTTGTGAAAATTCTACTTTATTATTATTATTATTATTATTATTATTGTTATCATTATCGTATCATTGTTATTGTTATTTTATTATTAGGACCTTCTTTGTCGGCTATGATGGTCAACGCTGGGTTGACAACCCTCAAGAAAATTGAGGAAACAAATCCGAGAGAAATAGAAATGGTATAAAAATGATTGCAAGTTATTTTGGCAATCTCCTTTCAGTCATTCACTGCGCATATATCAATCCTCAACAATTCAATATTACGTGTTATTAACTTTTCAGATCGTTAATCGTCATCCACCTTTCGGAAGTCAGGTAGGTATGGTCAGCTTAATATATCTGTGGTTTATGAATAAAACACTTGTGATATGCAATATATCTCTCCTTCATTACCTTTAGATTCGGGAAGCAGCTTCAACTTTACCAAAATATGAGGTTTCTGTTCAGCAGGTATATTATTTAGTCCATCATTACGGAATATATTTCTTGTGTTGTGTATTTTGTATTGTGTGTAGATGTGTGGGTTGACAATAGGCGTTTCTGGGGTTGATCAAACTAACTGACGATCGAGAGCTGGACAGATGCAGTAAAAAGAGTATTGGCTTTGAAATTAGTCGTGTAATGTAATGTAATTACGATATTTAGACAGGGTGGCCCAGTTCAGCTCAGAGCTGGTTTAAATGGGGGGCTGTATAAACAATGACATGGCAGACCACAACACCGGGAGCCACGTTCCTTACTCTTTGCAAGAAGTGTGTTTGTTCTGTATTGTCCCCTGCTAACCAGTAAAGAGAAAAGACAGGAGACGGGACCTACGGTTTATCGTCCTTATCCAAGAAGACTTAAATGTCTAACCATTTGATGATGTCAAATCAAAGGTAGTACATTCTCCTCAGTTATATGAAGACCCTGAGTGTTAATAGGGTCTAGTGGCAAATAAGACTTAACTAAAAGGAGGTTAAAAGACTTATCCTCTCAATATGCTGAGAATTATTTTAAAAAAACCGAGTAAAGGCTCAAAAAAAAAAATATTTTTAGGTTGCCTAGCCACGCCGACCATTCGTCAGACAGCTAATTTATGATTTGCCTCGACCGTCGTCACTGACAACCTAAAGCTAAAAATAACCTAGTCCTTGAAAACTCACTTTCCAAACAATGAGCATAACCTACTTGACTTTCGAAAATATCAAACAATGGTTTATTCACTTCAAAATTTTCTATGTTAAAGACAGGGAAACATCAGCCAGATCGTTCCGAGATTGTAATTACAGTTACCATGATGAACTACATCAAGCGAAAAGATGCGATTGGGTCAGCAAGGAACAGCCACTTCTGCCTTCTGGTGATCGCTGATACTGAAAACAACGTGGTGTTCAAACAGAAATTAGGGTAACTAAAAATTTGTTACTCCTCAACACCTGAAACTTTATCCTCTTTTAGTTTCTTCAACAGGAAAAGTAACAGTTGACTAAAGATGTTGATCATATATTTTGAGGTTGATGAGCTATCCACTGAACAAACCACTTTCATTGTTTTTACGACAGAGATTTTGTGTTTTTGAAAGAGGGATACTGGAGTAAGAGAGTTGAAGTACAGCGAACGGCTGCTCAGTCTTCAGATTTGAACATACACCTTATCAGTCAAGAATACGGTACTGATACAGGAATGTATATATCATTATTGGATCAATATAGGAACAATATCAGTACCTGGGCAATTGCGCACCTACCCCTCCCCCAACTCAACATTAACCCTAACTTGTTTAAGTGATTGTTGTTGCGTTAGGGAAGGGGTAGGTGCGTAGTTATTCAGATGCTAAAATTGATCCAAAATGTAAATCATGTTCGTTCTTTGGTCAGTAATATTTCACAAAGTGCTTCATCTCAGTTTTATAATTTGTGGCTCAGCGACGTGCTCGATGTACTGTTTTCTCCTTCGCTTCCGATGATAAATGTTGCCGTAAAAATGCTTCTTGTGTTCGTCGTTTTTAATGTCATTGATCATTTTTTGTGAGCTGCATTGCCAGGTTTCAATCCTCTGCTAGCTATACTGTCTTAAATCGAGTCCTTTTTGAAAATTACACCAGATCTGTAAAACTCGATCAATGTTGCTGTTAGTGGTAACGTTCACTTTATAGAGAAAACTTACTCGGAATATAGGTAAAGAAATGATTTCCATTTTTTTGATGACTTGTAACTGGTACAAGCGCACAGTTTCATTTTATTTCTTTTCAGTTGGTGTGGACGTGAGTAAACGGTTCTCCCCTCAATACAGTGTTGGGCAGCCGTATCTTATCGTACGTATTAGTAAATTTTCAAATTATAGATCTGACTTTACTTTGATAAACCTACTCGAATTTACTAATCTTTAATCTTAGCTGAATTTTTGATCTAACTAGTTATTTAGTTGGTTATAACGGTTAAACATTCTCAAAGCAGATTCACGACGTCGTATTCTAACTTTTATACCTAGTAAGAAATTGATAAGGTATTATACGTACTAATGCACCACAGTTTGTTTTTTTTCATACTCTTTTTTCTATATAGTAATTTATTTCTTGAGCAGAAATCGAGGAAACTTAAAAGCCTGAACACCCCCAGTTTGTTATGTGTTATTTATCTACAAGATTTGTAATCGTCTGAATACAGATACTTTTTTCCATCAGACGAAGAATGAACCACAGGCATGTGCTCCCAAACTTGTGAAGAGCAATGCCTCTAATTCAGGTAAATTTTTGTCCTCGTTTTTCAAACTCTCTCCGTACTGTCGCGAGGAGGAAGTGAATGCAGCCTCGCACATCCGCAACGAAGCAAAATATATGATGTGGCTTAGGTCGTCCTAAGGACAACTTCACCCATAATGACGATCCCATCATTTGATAACTTAATACCATTCGGATCGTTACACATCAGATTTATTCACAAAATTAATCATTTCATTTTATTTACGATATGGCTGGACTTCATAAAAAGCACTGAAAAATTTAGATGCTTAGATAAAATTCGTTGAGATAGTGTGAATCGAAAAAAAAGAAAGAAAGAAAAAGGAAAGAAAAAAATTGACGATTGGAATCCACTTTAACTCTTTTTATGTCGGGCAGTCGTCTTGAATGAGCACATATAGATATGTTTTTGGAATAATTTGTACTACTGATGAAAACTCTACCTTTCATACTCTTCATAATCACCACAAAAATTTCAAATTCGTCGACCGGAATGCTAAATTTTTAGACTGGAACACTGAATTTCCAAACTATCGAACATCTCCTGCGTGTTCAGTTCTCACACATTGCATTTCTTCCACATAAGAGTCGAATAGGAGCACCAGCACATCCAAGGCCGGAACGCCAAAGGTCGCTTGTAGTCATCGTTGCCTCAACAAGGAAGAATATCTTTTGAGAGTTAATCATACCTATATTCCTCTTCACAGACGTTTAATTATTTGCAATTAAGGTATCGGTCGGTGTCAATCTGTATCCATCAGTCATTTCGTGGAAATAGTGAAAATTAGGCATATTAGTCCACCATCAGTAGCATTCTTTTGTAAAACTTTGTGATTAATTCTCTTCGGGTCATGCACATTTTGCGCATTGATAGGCTTATAATTTGATACATTTACATTTCGTATCAATTAAAACTTCCTTGACAATACACACATGTGGCCATGAATGCTGCAAACAAGGCGTCAGCTCTAAGACAAGGAAAAGGAAGTCACAGGTAAGTTGACTTGAATGACTCTATTTGTTTTGGGTCTTTTGTTTTTGTTGTTGTTGTTTTTAATTTTTTTCAATATTCTTTTCCAATCCAACAAGACTGGGCGTATCATTGCTTGCACCAACTATCTTGCTCCAGCCAGTCCTCGGCGTATATTTGCATGTGTGAATTTTGGCAATGGTTAGCGGTAGTTACATAGGGTCACTCTTTGCGCAGGTCTTCAATAGATAGTTCCATAGAAAGCGTAAGAACCTCTTACAAGTGAGAACAGCCTTAACGCCTTAACAACTTAAGCTGATGAAGTGATCATTAACCATCAGCTTGTATCATGACTTGTTTAGGTGGAACAGAATAAAGAACCAAATTGTTCACCATTGATGAGTACACCAACTATAGGTAAACCGCTTTAAATTGATCCTTAATGATTTGATTAGTTGTGGACTCTCATTAAAAACATTCTTAAAAACGATTATTCATGGTCAAATAAATTACTTACTGCACTTTGCTCTGTAGATAATCAAAGAAAAATTACCGAGGTGGATGAACACGGAAATATGAATTCCTTCCTGAAAAACCTTCACATAAGAGCGCAAGCCATTCCTGGCACGCCAGCCAAACGCTTAAAGGTAACTGCCTGTACTAGTTACCCACTGTTCGACGCATAATGAAACATACATGAGGGTTATTTTATAATATGAAGATCCCCTTGCATTGTTGTCTGAGTTAACTCAAAAGTCTCATCATAATCATTGCTCTAAAGCCATCGGCGCCGGAGACCGTTGGAGCCAGCTATGTGGATTTAACACTGGACAAAAGATTTGGTTATACGCGCAGGATCCCTTTTCACATCTGTGAAGAGAGAAGCGAGGAGACTGTGGTGGGTGAGAAAGAACATACGGGAAGCCTTTGTTGGGAAGAAGTTGACTGGCATTTAAGAAAAAGAGAAGAAAAAAGGGATACCAGTAAAGATGAAGGTATCATTGTGTCTCATTGTCTCGTTTTGAGGACCAATATTCGCGTTTTTGTTTCTTTCCCTCCTAATGTAAGGCCATAGGATTTTTCTTAATCATTTTTAACTCGTGAATTGCGCGCATGCGCAAGAGCGAGTTATAGGTACGATGTGGGGAATGGCATTCGCTCGCTCGCTCGCTCGATTGGTCGATTCCTGTAAACTTTTTTTAGATTTTAGGCTTTTGAGTGCATTTGATAGTTTTTGGCGAGCAATAAAAAGACGAAATGACGACCTTTGTTGCTAAGAATAGTGGTGGGGTGAAAAAGAAGCCAATTATAATCTTTAAAGAGTTTTTTTTACGTTTTAGTTTCAACAAGCGGCGCCAGCGACTGGCAGGCATGCAAGGATTCACACTGAAATAACAGAACAACCTTCGTTTTTCATAAAATTGTAATTTACAATCCTTGAACTTGAAAATAATCCGAAGATTCATTGAAAATATCACTTACTGCGAAGCGCTCGGAGTTTACAGATGTTCAAAAGCTTTTTCTGTTATAGCGTGAGATTGAGGACAAAATTGATCATTACGTTTCGTCGCGTGTGTTTTTCCTGTGTGAAGCAACAAAAGATGCCGGCGACTGACGAAATAACAAGTTAACACGAAAATCAAATAACACCTAAACAAACAGTTTTAGCTACCGATTTTCAGTGAATTTTAAAAGAACAATTTTCTTTTAAGTTTCAAGACAATTTGAAGATTCAACATACATACAACGTACTAAAATGCGAAAGTTACACACCACAAAATTGGTAAATAGGCCTGAAATGAAATTCTATCTTGTTATTGATTATACGTTGCCTAGCACGTGACTTAAATCTACCCAGGCGGAGATCGAGAATGACGGTGGCAGGCTTAGCTTAGTTATATCACTCAAAACTCGTTCCCGTTTGTCTCTTTTGATAAAGAGGGAATCGTTAATGTTTTCATTAAGACAGTATTGCCTTGATTTTCTAATATTTACAACGAAAGACAGTAAATCTCACTTTTCACACACATTTACTTCCAACCTTTTCTCTTAAACCAGAAACAAAAATGATAGACGTTTAAAACACATGACATCATCCACCTTGTCAAATGTAATAGCATGATCATTTCAATGGTAATGCCTTCTTATCCCAACGTTACTTTGTTTCTTTGCTACATTAGCGAACACTGAACTACTGCTCGTACTCTAGATATGACAATCAACCACAAAATTCCCTAAACCAGATAACATTAAACATAATCTAAAAAATCATGTGTCAATTCACGAGTTTGCTCACAGAGCACTTTGATTTAATGTGATCTAATACGTACGTTCTTTCTGACGCAAACTGAATTTCATAGGGGTGTAAAAACCAAGAATACTACACACCCTCCCTAAAATTTGGACGACCTCGTATACGGACGTTATTGTGCTACGGAGTGTCATTATACCACAGGGTCCCCTGGTCAGTTGTAAAGACAACAATTCGCTTACTGGGGCCACTTTTAACACACGGATGTCTAATGCAAAATCGTTGGGGAACAAATAATGTTATCTTAAAGGAAAAATTAAAATGTTTCACCATTTCTTTAGATCAGTTTGATGATGAGCTGCCTTGCTTTAGCTTGAATGAGCTATGGAATGACGATGAATTAGCCTTGACTTTAAATGTTGAAAGCGATCCTCACACCAGCCCACAGGAGCTGCACTTGCGGCAAAAGAGGAACAAGTCTTTGCACCCTCTTTTCTTCGACGTGGCTGCTCCAGAAAACCGCCAGAAGATATCAGTTGTCGAAAGGCCGATGCCAAGAAGCTCTCGATTCAAAGCAGAATCTAACGCGAGAGTAAACTCATGTGCTCCCTTATTTCTAGGCAGCAGTCAATCTAATAGGCACTTGAGGAGAATTCCCCTGCCTGTACTACCACCCCCACCCACCCCTGAAGCAGAGGATTTTGATCTAACAGGTTACTCCGGGTCCGCAAGGGGTACATGTAGCAGTTATTGGAATAAAGGGCAACTAAATCTCACTAGCACAGGAAGAATGAAACAGTGTTCTGGGCTGAGATCGCCATCGGAGGACCCCTATGATGTTCTAGAGGCAGAAGATTGGAATATCCTGCCTGTTGTTTCTAAGCCTGAAGGACAGACCAACGCTTTAAGCTCGAAAAAGAAGACAGAGAATGAAACTAATCTTTTAGGCTCTCAGAGTTCAACCACGTTGGATACACCATCAATGCAAGGAAGCAGTTGTTTACAGAAAGAGAACGTGATAGCAGTCGAAGATGAGTGTACACAGCGATGTCAGCAAAGGTATCGTATTTGCATTGTACTGATTCGTTTGTGAGCCAAAACTAAAAGATGCGCGTAGAAAAATGAAGAAATTGTCTGAAAGCATGAACGCATTATTCTCGTGAAGGAGAAAATATGAAATAAGGAAGCATCTATTACTCTAATCCGATGACATTTATATTTTATCATTGCCACACGTGAAGATGTTTGACGATTCTGTAAAATCAACTTTTAACATTTTTTCTTTTATTTTAGTCCCTGTTCTGCCTCCTTCTTCTGTTCTAAGTCTTCTGAGAGGTAGGTTTCCACTTGCAAAGGCATATAGTAAGCCACACGCTTCTGCAACGTCTGTATTCATTAAAGATCAAAGTTGTTAGGCCTAAGCTATTATGACAATCTTTGAAATATTAACTGGGTTTAATTTTATCAATAACACGACTTCCGGTTACCGATTTTTTTGACCTAAAGAAATGAAGTTATACATAGCAAAATATTTGACTTCGCAATGGCGAGCAGTGTTGCTTTCCGACCCATAACTACCCCGCTTTTACCCATTACAGCTGTGAACAAGACTTCGAAGAGAAAGACGCATTTGCAGGGATTTTCAATGGATTGTTATAGACTGAAAATGGAAAATAAGACGGGGGAAGAAAAGGGTTCGTGTGAACTCTACTATCAAGACAATGAGAAAGTATTGCGAACATTTTGTCAACAAATAACCACAATTCAAAGTTATCTCGAAATTTTGAGTTGGACCGTGATAAAACAGTTAAATTGGATTTTTCAGTTTGATGTCAGTTTGTATTCTTTCGCAGACATCTACTAATTTAGCTTGATTAGATTGTAACCGGTTATCTTTCATTTTTTTTACTACTTTCACCAAATGTGTTTTATGCACCATAACAGCAACAGATCCTACGAGGTCTAACACGGTCCACCTGCAGCCTTGACAGTCACTGCCACTCGAGGAAATAAATATTTATTACTTTGTCTCTTCATATGGGTTTTAAGGGGCTGTAGCATCACTGTGTTATCCACTCTTGTGCTGGAAATAATTCATTATCTACCTCTTCACCGGGTAACAGGGATTAACGAGTGCAAACCTTGAGTAGCTGTTCACATACGTAAAGCCCGCTTCTTAATCGGTCGCAAAGGAGCTCTCACGTTCTGGAGAAATTGTAACTACGCAAGAAAAACTCGAGAGCCCTCCCAGCCCGCGCTGAAAAAATGGAAAGCATTCAACTTAAAGAGCGAATGAACCAACCTAGCAAGTGTTGAAACAAATTATAGGTTTCACGGGTTACAGGTGCAAATATGCCAAAATAGGAATTTTCAAGGACACCAGAGAGCGACTAACACACATTCAATGACGACCGAAGTGAAATTCTGCAACAGAGCATGTTATATATGTTTTGTATGCAAGTAAGACTAACGTATCTATGACCAATGCGTAATTCGCTATCTTATCGTTAAATATTAGCACCTTCTTTAAAAGGCCTGGAATTCTCTTAAATATCCATTAAATTAGAGCCTTACACTTTCTATACACTTTATAAAGATTTAGTAACCAGGGAACGGAACCGTTCTACACCTTTAAAAATATACTCATCTTACAATGAATTTGAATATTTTACAGTTCCCATTGATGCAAGATGGTAATTATTCTACCCTTAGCTACGGTAACTCAAAATCTATAAATATTATTTGACGCCAGACAATTACATATTTGAGAAGATCCATAATAAAATGTTAACTTTCAATATCTGAAAGTGAACTCATAACAATACAAATTATGTTGGCTAGTCAGGAGAATTTGGAGTTACACACAAACAAAACAAAACCCCTAGTTGATCAGTTTCTAAATTCTCTTTGCCCGGCTGCTTGTTACTGGAGAATACAGGTACCGATCACTTCTAGGAGTATAAAGGTTATAACAGTTACGCCTGGTATCAAAACTTTGAATACTTTCCATTACGTATTTCCCTTTCAAAAATGTACTTTTTCAAAAAATACAGTTACAGTTTATTATATTATGTTATATAATTCTTATTTTTATTCAATGATTAAGTTATAATTATTATAAACTTTTGGTCAGCCATATTGCTCTTAAGACTGAGATTTATGTGAGCCAAACGGGAAGATCATTTTCGCACGATGACTGAGACTTTCATACTGTCATAAAAAAAGGTCCGGTTTGCTGTCCAACCTTATCAGTAACAAAGAAGATTTAAATAAGGGGGTTTTAATTAAAATTAAACGGTAGTTTTATATAAGGGTCTGTTCCCAGCCACTGCTATTCTCAAAATTTTCCACTCAACACATCGTTTTTGACACTTTATAAATAAGGCAGTCTCCTTAGTACCTGTAATCCGGTCTACTCACGCGGCACACCAGTAGTTTCTTGAATACCGTTGTAAAAAGAGAGTTTAACGGCTAACTTCGTTTGCTATCCGAAGCACTATTAACAGCAAGTCCGTTGTTAAATCCCTGCCGAGTATCCTTCCTCCCTTGAAACGCGTCCATTCGCTTAGCGCCCTTTTCCGACATGTTTCCGTAGAGAATCCTGCTTCTACTCGGCTGCTTGTTTCGTTGAGGGAAAGGTCTGAAGTTCTCGGGATACTTGCACCTCTTGTCTTCCTCCAACAGCCAAGAACTGTTATTGGAGTTATAACCAGACCCGTGATACGAGCGGGTGTATACTCGTCCCGTGCCACCGAACGATACTGCGCCTGCGTCAAGAACAGCAGGGCTGTTTTTGTCCACTACCCTCACGGGTTTTGGCTTATCATTGTTCGCCGCAGTTACTTTTAATGATGAAGATTCAACCACCGTAACTTTTGTGGATTTACGACTGGCATTCAAACCAGACAGAAGCGGTTTATTTTGCGTTGGTTTGTCAGTTTCTAACGACGATACTTCACCATTTAATCCAACATGTTGAATTTTACGCGTGTTTGGAGTAATTCGCTTAACATTTTTGGCCGGTTTCTCCTCAGAAATTTGTTCTTTCTTCTCTTCTGGAATTTTCTTCATAGAAATCTCCTTTGTCCTATCAGTTTTAACGTGTTTTTCACTCGCCTCTGGAGCCTTTTCCTCTTCTGAAGGCTGTTTGGTTTCTTTCTTTTCCTTCTGATCACCTTTGAATAACTCATTCAAATGCTGCATGCTTTCCTTCTCATAAGCGTTTGGTTTCACTTCCACTTTGGTCTCAGTCTTAGAACTGACCACATCTCCTACTGATAACCGTTCACTAGCATTCGTTTCGTTCTCCTTCTTGACTCCGAAATGACTTCGAGCAGTCTTAGTCTTTTTCTTAGTTGCTGATACAAACAGATGATTAATAGCAGCAGGAATGCTCTTGCGCTTTTCAGATTCCTGTATGTTCTGTACTGTGGCCTCTGAAAACACCACTACAGCATTCTGCTGCATCTGCCTCATCCTTGCATACTGCTTCTGTAAGAAGGTCATCTCCTGATGAACACGGCGTCCTCTTGAACCAAACTGCTTCGTGGTATATGGTAGGGGAGAGTAACCATCAGTAGCAAACACGCCCGGACTAGCAGCTGCAATGTCATTCAAATCCTCGCCACCGGCACCTAGCGCTTTAGTGCTATTTCCAGGGGAAAATTCCGAGAACGGCAACAGAGCTCCTAAGCAACCGATCCCTTCCAAGTCATCGACGTCGTCTTCTTCATCGCTAGAACCGCGTCCTAGTGCTGATCGCTGACCTCGATCGCCGGTAGCGTCTGAAAACGGGTTGATATTGTACGTGTACTGCTCTCGAAGTTCTGCTAACCCTGGTAAGGGAAACGGAGCCAAGGCGTACACCTCCTACAAATAGCAATATAGTTTAATTTTAACCATTTTAACGCAACACTTCCGCGCTAAAAATTGGTATCATTTAGAATAGTGCACCACAAGGCGATTCTTTACGACAATTTTTCAATCGACAACGTCTTGCAAGGTTTTGAATGCGATGTGAATCAGAAATCGATGGATCCAAATCCAACAATTGTCGATTTAAAAACTTCCAAAAGTGACATTTACTTCTTTCAAGGAAGAATACGGTGTTCTCCCTTATTTTAAACACAGAGTAGAAACCCAATTGTGGGCCACCGTAGTTTGACGCTTTTTCGCCGGAGAAAAAGTCTTCAAAAAAGTGAGAAACTTCAATGACGGTGAGTATACTCTTAAAAATTAAAATCGGACCGTAAGCTAAATGTTTATACCTGCATTAACGTTTGACAATCAATGACATTTCCAGTCAGCACATCATGTATTAGTACCCCCATTGTGCTGTAAAAATCATCAGAAGTTTCCACGTGTTCAAGGCGCCTGATGGAAGAAAAAGTGTCCAATGTAATAAGCTGTATCAATATTTTGAGTCAGACAGCTAATATCGGAGGCGTTCGAGTGCGCAGCTGTTTTGGTTTAAAGTGCTGTGTTAACACAATGCTACATAACCTTTTAGAGGAGGAGAATTCATCTTGGTGGTTGTATGACATTTAGAAAAAAAATCATAGGGAAAGGAAGTATAACAAAACTGTATCCCTATCAAGTCACCATAACACTCCCTGAAAAGTCAAACTTTCCACCCGACATGTGGTTTGGAAAGTGCTCTCGGTATGGGACTTGTGCGCGTGCGATTCCTTTCATTCTTAACGCCCGTCAACCGGCAATAAATTATGTCTCTTAAACCTCCGCAAATACCCTCCCGTAAATGGAAATAACAGAGATCCCCTGTTCTTGCCTGAAAAGGGCAAATTAAAGTAGAATTTTACAGTTCATCTCAATATTATTTCAATTCGTTCTACATTTTGGTTTGCATGAAGGATAATCGGAGATTCTTTGCCTTCTCTCTTTTTTTTTTTTTAGATAAATTCATATTAAATTATGACAGGAAACTTGAGGTTTCCGATAAATATTTTAGCTAACAGGTACATGTTTACACATGCACCTTCTTTGTACTTGACTGACCGGTGGACGTGAGGGAGTGGGAGGGTGACTGAATTACAAACCTACACATAAATCTTTACTGAATACAAGTTAACCTAAATAAACCAAGAAATAGTTCGATACATACTCTCCAAGTTTACCCCAAATAGCAACAGCAACTCTAAGAAGCACCTCTGAGCCCTCTAACAAGATGGAGTCCCACACACGCAAAACAGTCTCCTCAGGCAAACAAGTGGCAAACAGTGTCAGAAACCACTGCATGGTGAAAACATTAATTAAAGGAGGCTCGTACATGGCATTGGAACCATTCTGTGACAAGGCTTGTGCTTGTAAGCTATCCAGGTGTTTTGATAGCCTCTCTAGCTTCTCCCTCATTAGGTCACGCAAGACAGCCATGTCGACAGAAAGTGCCCGCAGGTTATTTGCAAAGTAGTTTGTGGGAAGCACGTGGTCGATGACATAAACCATAACCTATAAAAAGAAATTGTGGATTGTAACATTTCACAACAATTTACTTTCTAAAATGCTAACTTTTTCAACCCTGTCACTCTTGTACAGGGACATCAAGTATTGGTCTCTCCCAGCAGTTAATGAAAAGGTTAATTTTTAAAGCTCTGGAAAAACTGATAGTTCATGTATCCTTACAAACATGTCAATAAAATTAAGACGGAAAAGGGTAAGGAAAACCTTAACAAAACAAAATAATAACTATTAGCAATTAATTATAGATGTACCTTCAGTGCATCTTCCTCATTTCTGTCCATTACTTGAAGAATTAATGCTGCAATGACATTGAATCCTTGACAGTAACCCACAGCCTTGTTGCGTCGGGCATAAGCTAAAAGAACGCGTTTTAGTGATGCTCTTTCCTCAGGAGTATCCTGACCACAAAACCAGCTGCAGCCAGTTCGATGAAGATCCTAAACAATATTGTGAGGTAGTTATCATTAAAGATACAATATGTGGGGTACATGTGTACATGTGCATGTGACATCATCTATCAGCCACACTGATTTGTGGGCATACACTAACAATACTGCTTCACTCTGAATCATAGAGTGACACATTATTAGGACTGCAAAAAGTAATGATTGGGTAGACTTCTCAGTGGACCTCTACTAATTCTTCATTTCTCATACTTTATGAAGCAAAGCCAACTTGAATTGAACGCGGTTTAAAAATCTCTCATCAACCTCGAAAAATACAGATCACGGAAGACAACTTCATCTGCAGTGTGATACATGCATTTCTAGATAACTAGTAGAAATTCCATTCTATGCAGAAATTAAAAGCTCAAAACTGTAGTAAACACTAGTAAACTGATGAACAATGCAAAAATTAGTTTTTGATAAAATCAAGACTTCCTTTATGCCTTGATCATGAAATATTACCCTGTGCATGTCTGCCATACAATTCACATCTTGTCTTATTGACTGGCCATTTTAGATTTGTGAGAACGAGATCACTCCATGAACCACAACACTTGCACTTAGCTAGCTCTAAGTTATTCGAATTTGAAATATGTTGTTCATTGAATGACAGAGGCAAACTTGGAGAAAAAGAACTCCAATTAGTCTCAACAGGAGTCAAACCTACATGTGCAACCTTCTGATTAGTGCTGCAGATGCTCTACCAGTGAGCTAAAGGAAACTCATTGCAGACTAAGCAGTTTAACTAGGTCAAGGGTGACAAACTTCCTGAATACTGCTAGGACAGGAATGTCAATATGTGAATTTGTTACAATGTGTTTCTCTGTCATAAATTCTTACCTTTACTATTTGTGATCCTAGCTCATCATCATCAGGATTACTCCTCTCATTAAAGCAAAATTTAGCTGTCTTTTCCCAATCCAAATCTTTTATTTTACTCTCAGCAAGACACAACCATAACTGACAATGAAAGTGTTACTCATTACAAAAAATACTACAAGTGTATCTTTAAATAGATTACTTCACTATCACCCCTGAAAAATGTTTCGGTCCTAACTATAACACAGATGCAGTTTAACAGTATGAGAGCAAAGAGAAGAGCAAAAGCAAGGCAAGAACAAGGGATTTGATATTCAATAAAATCACATAATGTGTAAACACTGAAATCTGATGCACAGACAGATGGGAGTCATTGAAAAAATGGGTGAAACTTGAGTATACATGTAAGATGTGGGAAGTTCAATGGCATCAATAGTTAGGATAAAATATAAAACATCACTTTTGAAACTGCCTTGTAAACACCTTTTGCTTCTCTGAGTGAACATTGGCTGCAAATTTGCTAGAATTTTTTTCACAAAACAAAGTGGGGGATTAACATAATGACAATAAAACTAACTCTATCAAAATTGATGCAAATGCACTAAAAAAATCGAGTTTACTTTTGTTGGACAAAATAGAAGTAAGGATTCAGTTAATTTACTCTGGAGGGAAATAGGAAGTAAAGGTTAACTCACCCTCCTTCTCCACTGTGATGGGACACCTTCTTTAAGTCTGGCAATGGCTTTGAATGCAGCAAGCCACTATCAGGAAAAAAGGATCACTATTTGTAAAAGAAAACCACTGAAGGAAACTGTCACAAAAAAGTCATCACTACTTACATGTTTAAATGCCTTCTTTCCAGACTGAGGGATGAAGGAAAACCTGATTTTAGTATCCACACCTAAAAAGAGACAAGCAATACTCCACTTTTTTAATTGTCAAAACTTTAATTTCTGTAGACCTCCATAGCATTAGACATTGTTTCATTCCATGTTCATGTTTCACTGTTTAATATCCAAATATCACAAAATTGGTGCTCAGAAGAAATATCCATTTTCTTTCAAAGCAAAAATTTGTCTCATAAAACACCAAAAAATTGTCAATCCTCAAAATTGTAAACAATTTGCAACAAAACATCACAAATGACATCAAGTCTGGAAAACCTTTGAGGACACCCCCAAAAGACATTTATCATTCAAATAAGTGAATCATACAACCAAGTCACAGTAAAGAAAAAAAAAATTAAAGGCATACATCTATGATGCAATGTGGGATTTTACAGAATCAAATACAACATTACTACTCATGTACATGTATGTGATATCACCTATTATTAATAATAATAGTAATAATAATAATAGTAATAATAATAATAGTAATAACAATAATAATAACAATAGAAACCAGAGGAGGCTCAAATATTGTCATTAGCATAATTAATTTGATCATGATTATAGGTATGCTCTCCATTTTCTAAAATACGTTTGTTAAACATTATGTAATAGAGGTGGAGAGTGGATTAAAAAAGGCTCCAAATTTTGATTGTAGCTGCTCTCAAAAATTTCACTTTTTTGGCATAAAAATTTCAGAAAAATATCAGACCCCAGTCTGTTAGTTGTTTTAAAAACTTTGATTGGCTCACAGTCATAACCAGAGCATACAATCAATGCAAAACAAAAAAAATTACAGTTTATGACAAAATATAGCTTCATTCCAACCATAAATCACAAAATCACCATAAAAATTATTTTCCTGATACATTTTCTTCGTTTTTATGCCTGTGTCATATATTTTTTTGTGATCTTTAGAAACTGTGTGCTCAAAAGTTTGTTCTCCAGCCCAAGGTGTTACGCTCTGCATAACTATCTCCATTTCTTTTGTCACCAATTTCTATTCTAGCAGAGTCTGATTTAAGGCTGATTTATATGTGAATATGAACATTTCCACAAGAGAGGAAGTAGTTTCAACCATAAGATGTCGTCTGAAGCACCCACTTGAGCAGTCATTTTGATTTACCCATTTCAAACCACATGACCACATACCTAAAAGGGTCTAGCAAAAACTGTCTGAAACAAGATAAGTACCATTATTAACTAATTTATGCATGAAACCAAAATTAAATATTGAAATACCAAAATCATTTGGTATTTCCATATGAACCTGCATTGAGGGAAATCCCTCTACAACAAAAGATTTACAGAAAAACTTTCCAAACATGCATTGTTGTTATCTGGTGCATTTTAAAAAAGTGGTGATTTTCAACAAACTTCTGAATAAAGTTTCTGTAATTCCACACCTTACTCTCAGTGGTAATTACTTAAAATCAAGAGGACCAATTGTTCTGACCACTGCTACATTTTGGATTTAGCCAAGTAAAACTCAAGGAGAAAATTGCACATTTAAAAGAGCACATCAAATTTTCTATGCGCAAAAAGCAAGATTTGCCAATATCATTTAAAAACCAAATGAAATTTCACTGAACTCAATACAGCTGTAGCATAGCAACTGTGATAGTAATATTCAAAGTACAAGATAAATACAATATCACAGAGACATTCTCATAAAGCATATTTCTTAAATTCTTGAATATTCTGTGTCTGGTCTGCTCAGTGCAGATCTTCATTCAAAGAAAACCAACAGTACAGCAAAAATCAAACAAAGGTACTAACAGTGACATGCCTGTCTAAAATGTCTATGTCCTAAAAGCCTCTGGAAACTTGACTAAAAAGCTTGTCAATCTTATTCTGGTAACTTGATTACAGTTTAACAATTTTTTAAAATGTAGCTCTTTTCAAGAGGTGTAAATCTTAACAATTTGGCAAAATTTGCATCTCAAAGAATGATGCTGAGATTGTTACCAAATGTGAAACGGAACAATTTGTTGGTTACTTGAGGCTGATTGGATAATTGGAATATTCATAATGATCTTCACAACACACAGTAGGAACTATTTGTTCTATTCACTTCAAAGTCACCAGGGACAAAGCCAGTATCTAAATATCTCCATCTAACAATAGAAATACAGAACCTGTAAAAATTTCAAGGGTTATCAACTGTGATGTAAAGAAATCATGATTGATCAATGAATAATTTTGCATTTTCAGGCCAAAAATACGACGTGTCAGGCAATTTGCAATGCAATAGATTTCACAAGGTATCAATAGGTTATTTTTAACATAGCTCCATGCCATTGAAAACACCTAAGAAAAATCTTCATGGCTGTTTCTAGAACATCACGCTGTGTTCAGGTGTTAAGAATTTTGAAAAATTTGCCAAAAAAGATTTACCCATAATAAAAGCGATTGTAATACAAAATTCAACAGAATCCTAGCTTGGACTATTTAAAGCAAACAGCGACCTTTGTTATGAAAATTGAGCAGTTGTTAAATTTACGCAGAATACTATGATTGATATCTGCTCAGAAAAAATCAGGAAAAAGTAGATAATTTACCACAAAGAGAGCTAGTTTTGGAAAATTTCGATTTCCTTGAGAAGTTTACTCTTGCCTGGATGAATATTTCCCAAAATTAAAGCGCTGCAAACAAGCAATTAATGATCATAAATCGATTAACAAAAATTCTCAGGCGTTGCGTGTGGGAAGGTCAAATACTTACGTCTTTTCAACGAAACCGCTTGAAGAATAGCAGTTAAAACATCAAAGTTTCTTTGTAGTTTGTAAGCGTGCTTATCCCTCCGTTTAAGTTGTTTGACTAATTTTGTCGAAAGCATGGATATTCGTGTTCGCATCTCCTTTGCCATGATTCGAAGCTCATCTGTATCTGTGAGCAGAAAAAAATTAAAACAGAAATATAAACAGCCAATTGAAAACCATCACCTGTACAAATGCTTACCATTTAGAAAAATTCCCAATTCTGAGACTCAAATGGAAACCAAATTACGCTTTGATATTGATGTTGCGACCCTTGCTGGGTATTATCCTTCAAAAACAACTAGTACTAAACAGCATTAAACACAAGATAGTGTCCGATATTCGCCAATGTAAAATTAATAGGACAAGGATAAATTTCTGTCCTCATTTTCTAACTGGAAATTTTACTCTGACTTCTTGATTTCAATATTATACAGCAAAATAAAAATGGAAAACCAATGCAAATAGTCGAACTGCGTTCAAACTTAAGCTGGTAATTTTACAAGAGCAATTGAAGGTCTTGTTGCTAACCTTTCGCGGAAAGTTCGCTTTTCGTCCACCGTTCGCCGCGTTCTTCGAGGTCGAAAGAACCGCCGTAGAAACTCCCCGATGTCGTAGAACACTCAGTAACATTGTCACTATCCACTGAGTCTCTGCTGTGATACTGGTCGTAAATTTCAAACAAAAGACAGTCGACGATCGAAGCTTTTTTTATTAACTCGCTGCGTTGTTTTTCCGGGTCGAATCCATTTGTAAATACTGAGTTTTCATTTGCACCAAAACCCCAATCAGAATCTTCACTCCTTGGACTCAAAGGGCTTTCGTCGTAACTACTTTCAGTACTCAAACTTTCTCGTTCTGTACTTCCTTGTCGTTCAAAGTCTGACTCATCATCTTCTTGGTCCGCCATGTTCGTCGTCCGCTGACAAATCGACACGGCTCATTTGAAATTCATTGGCCGAGCGCTCAAGTAGAGCAGTTGTTTCTTTGTTTGCAAACAACTCGACGTAAATAGTATATTCCTTTTTTCCGCTACGGAGCCAAATTTCTTATAAAAATCGCAAGTGCAATTGTACAAAGTCGGGAAATCAAATGATACAGGGGAGAAAATTAGCAAAATACCTTTTCTTGCTTAGCGATGAACTTTACGGACCGATCGGTCGAGGCTAATGAGATTTGATCAATTGATCATTGATCTTCAACCTCCCTCCGGAAAAACGAACGTATCTCGGTAAGCCAACCCTACTTTAGAAAAAAAAATTTAAAAAAAAAAAAGTTACCTTTTTTGGAAATCAATAATTGCCTGAAGGAGTACTAGAGCCGGTGATTAAAACATTTTAGAGTGAATGTGTGGAGGCATGAAAACCTTCGACAAAAATTATTTTGGCCGAAGGTGTTTTTTTTCTAAAAGGTACATATGCAAATACTGTATGAGCCTTTTGTTGTGAAAATATATTGGTGATTTGCTATTACGTCCAAAGAGCATATCATACCACTGATCACGCCACTCTAATGAAAGTTTTCTAGTGGAAATTGTTGCCTAGATACAAAGTAATGGTCTCAATTGAACGTGGACTATAGGTTAGATGATTTGAAACAGGTTAAAGTGACCTTGCGCGCCATTTTGTCCACAAATATCATCAGAATTAATCAACTTATCAGGAAATACTAAATAAATAATTTATTGAGGGAGAAAAATGTCGAAGCAAGGACAAATATCTTCAAGGGAGGATAAAAAGTTTATGGTAGAACTTGATGCACAATCATATTGCCTGGAAACGAAATAACGTTCGCTTGTTTCGAAGTTTTCAGAGCCAATCCTGATAGACAAGGATTTCAAAGTCCCCCTTCCCCGCACCCCATAATGACTGTGCCGGAAATTTCGCTAATTAAGTGCCGAACATGCAGTTTGGCAGGTCATTATCAATCTACTGTCGTTGGCGTCCCTTCCTAAATATTAGAATATGCTTGGGACAAAAAAAAAAAAAAAAGTTAAAAGAAAAATTGCTAAAAATCATCTTCATTGCAATGACACACTTTTAATGTTCTTCATTGAAATTCTCTACATCTACAGCCATCAAACAAACCAACAAAAATCAAGAAATGGAAGCAAATTCTGATTACAATCACGCTGGTGCTAAGTGCGATTCCCTCTCATAAGGGAATTGAAATCAGGCTGAAACTCTCCACGTAAATGCCACCTGATGGAGGAAACAAAGACTATGAGCATACCAGCGTAAAGAACAGTAACCATTATGGATAGTTCAATGATTTCTATACTATAAAATAGGCATCCGTCGTCATTTAAGTGAATACATGGGTGGTTTCATGAGGTCCTAGCTATCAGTTTTTGATGGTGAGGTCTAGACTAACATATGGTACCACTCCCCTGACGAAGATTTCTAGTATGGCAGTCTAAACGTCGATATCTTCGACAGAACGCTTGACTCAACGATTGACAATGTCCCTAACAAGCGAGAAAATTTAATTTATCAATCAGAGATTAATAGACATTCACTCAGCATTATAATCAAGGTAAACCAACGTATCCACTGCAGGTCAAATGTAGCTCCACTCACGCCCCGTTTATAACCTTTAGCCATTTCATTTCTAAGATGTGGCTTGTAATTCTCTCTACAAGCAGCTAAACATCCTTGTTAAGTAGTAAGGAGAACTATGTATTAGATCAAGATAACACTCTCTTCTTGGCTAACAAGTTTGTGTGATCTAATCACCTGTTTGCTGGATAACTTATCCGTGCGTATTTAGGGGAGGGCCGGGGAGGTCTGAAAATGAACTTATTGGGTTCTATTTTTAACTATTTTGGCTTTGCCCAAATATACATGTCACTTTCCTGGTAAAATTCAAGTTTGAGTGAAATGCTCTTCTTCTTGATGTTATAGTCTTATTTCACTATTCGTTGGTACCATTCCTAGGGGTGATATAAATCAACTAAAGAGATATCCAGATATCTACGCTTGCATAACTCACTTCTTTAAAACCATAGTTTAGTGAAAGCTCTTTATACCTAGCTCTTAATGCAGTTATTATCATCGCATTGTCCGCTGGTACCACAAAGCCAAGCAAGGCAATAATTGTGCCTATAGTTACAGTAGCATCCAGGACCCAGCGACGCGCAGTGAGGGCAAATGCTTGCTGTAAAATAAACGCAGAAATCATGTATAGGAAAAAAATTGAAATGGAGATAAAACTCTTCGCAACGTGTTTTTTGTTCGTCTGTGTATATTTTTGATTGACTGACTGCGTAATAACCTATTGACGGACTGACTGATTGATTGACAGACTATAATCGATAAATTGATGAACTGATCAATAAATTTGGAATTCAACGGATTCAGTTTTTTTTTTAGTTTAGCACCCGTTTGGTAAATTTATAACGAAGTGTTGTGGGTTTTCTCGACAAATCACTAAGTGTAGACAATTAAAATCAATAAATCCTAGGTAGAGTAAATTCAACTCACGTTCACCGCGTTTCCAAATAGATCCGTCCATTTGAATTTCATTTAACTCTGAAAAGTCAAACAAAGAGGGAGAATAGATAATGGTAATTGAAGAGACTAGGCCGATGCAATTTGATCTGAAATTAGACACGGCATTACCAAAATCGTACGAGCGCATAGCGAAAGTTGATTTGAAATCAAAAGTGTGTGTATGAAGGAGTTTGGGGGATCACGTGGTTTTTAGGGGGAACAGAGGAGTGATCTGTTATCGCTAACAGAGTATAAAGTGGAGGACTGTAGAAAATTGACTGCTAATTAACTGCCAATAAGAGGAAATTATGAGAATAATACAGAGCCTTAGAGGGAATAAATCAGTTAAGGTTATCATAACACAGCAAAAATCCTCCAATCCCCTCTCAGGTGATCAATAATGACCGGTCCCTTTGTATATCTTTTGCAACACAATTTCCCTTGATAGGAGGCTTTCCCACCTGCCCAGGTTTCGCTCTTCTTAAAATACTCAATTAACTAGAATAGGTTTATTTTACATCAATGCACTGATTTACCTGAGATATCCCTTTGCTTCAGAAAGCTTCTTGTTTCATCTTGAAAACAGAAAATCAAGAGTGGAATCAAAAGGCAATCAATTTTATCTCAAAACATTAAACGTGTGGTGACTGCGTGATATATGAGGAGTTTAAAACACGGTTAGGAATTATGCGTCTATCAATTCGGGGCAACCCCCCTCCCTCCTCGGGCCGACACATTGCGTTCAAATGCCCAACCCAATATTGAACGACTCGGTGTGAAACCAACGAATTTTGTAAAATTTAGCAAGGAAATATATTAGCTTTTGGCACCGCTTCGTGAATTTTCGCTTGCAAGAATCCTTCTACGTTGTAAAAGTTGTTTTTCTTGACCATGCGCTCATAAAGGCACACTCTTCGCCTCTCTGCCATTAAAACACATGTATTACGCTGGAAAGGCTGGACTCAAATGCCCCACCCCATCCAGGCTAGGTTCAAATTTTCCCTTTAGGGACGCATCTCATTTCTTTGAAATTTCACAAGAGCTGGTTGTGGACACCTCGGAGATCGTTTTCTACCAGTTAGGAAACTCTGAACGATTAAATAATAGCAGATAAATGTACATCACAGCAACAACTGGAAAAATTCACAATAGAAGAATTTGATCCTTTTAGGCGTTAAAAAAAGGCAAGTTAGAGAACTATTTTTCTTGAACCAATTTTCGGGCGCGCGCAAAACTTCTCAGTTCACAGCAATAATTTAAAATTTAAGGCCATCATTTTTGTGTCAGAACATTTATGCATATCTGGTAACTGTGTGATAGCTAATTTTTTCTGTACATAAAAAAGGCGCGCAAACCCCCGCGATTTTCGCGCGCAAAACGTCTCAACTCACAGAAACAATTCGTTTTTTAAAAACAAGGTAAACATCCGCTTTAAAATATAAACCAGGAGAATGGAATGCAGTAGTTAGTTTATTTTCCTTCTTCAACTAACTTGAATCGCGCCAAAAAGTTCTCAGCCTACGCTCAACAAAATATCGGTAGGATGAAAACAAAGAAGAGTAAAAATGCAAGATTTACTCTTTTTGGGGGGGATTTTCAAACTAATCGAGATTATTGCTCCAAAACCCTCATAGAGAGCCAAAATGTTTGGAGCCTCTTCACTTCTAGCGGACTTTGAGTCTTTCGATCGAAAGGCGCCAACTCGGCCGATTATGCGGGCACGGAGGGCACTTAAGTCTCTACTACTCTTCTTCCTTGAAATTAAGTGTTCCTACCTTCAGTGTCACGCAGAAATGGCACCCTGGCGGCCGAGCAAAGGGTAACTAGAAGAACCAAGGCAAGGACGAAGCCGTTCATCTTTTTTGCAGAATAACCGTACAACCAGAAGACCAAACGCGGCGTGATTTTTTCAAGTGACAACTGAGCTGGCCTTTTTTGCTGGACTTATTTATATACGTTTAGACAATATATTTTGTAATCAAAAAGAATTATATTTTTATTTCGGTTCAGCAGACTGCAACTAATCTACAGTATTTTATTCTCTGCACTTTGGCGAGTAATGCCCGCCATTATCGAATTTTATTGTGCTTTTGCGCCGGTTTAGCAGATTGCAATTAATCCGTAATCTTTTATTCTTTGCACAATTCAGCCAGCAAAGCCCGCCATTTTTATCCTTCGGTGCGTCCAACCATTTTTGTTGCTCATGTTCTTTTTTGCCTTGATTTAATTCAGCTTTTAATAGCCTGATATATCTTACCCATCCAGGATGAAGTAATATAATTTTGTCATATTGACTGGTCGTGCACTACACCATTGCAATGTATGAAGGACATTATTTATAAGCAAGAAAAAAATAAATGGAAATCATGGTGCATTTTTCTCTGGTTAAGCAGACTGTGACTAATCGACAATATTTTTAACGATTGCACCCATTGACCAACCCCTGGTTTAGCAGATTACAAGTAATCCACAATATGTTATTTTCTGCACTCCAGCGAGCAATGCCCGCCATTTTTATCCATCACTGAGTGTGCTCAGCCAGATTTATTTCTTATCACTATTTGACATTGATTAACGTCAGTGTAGTATTCTTGTCGAAAATCTGACATTCTTTGTAAAATTCGAGGACTGCATATACGAAAAAAAAGGTTTGTGTGGTAAAGTAGATTAGCTTAGCTGTAATAATGATTGCACGTTTAGGAAAGCCATCTTTTCTTCGTATTGGTCTTATAAAAGACATCTTTGATGATAAAAAAATTAATTTATTGTGCTTTTGTTCTGGTGAGCAGATTGCCAATAATCCACTAGATTTTATTCTTAACAAACTCCGGCGAGCAAAGCCCGCCATTTTTGTCGATAGGTGCGTTATTGCTGCTCATGCACTGCTCTGCTTTGATCCAGTTTTTATTAGCCTGATATATATTTTATTCATCAATCATGAAGTAAACCTTGACAGTTAAGAAAAAATAGAAAATTTTCTACCATTTTGAGTCAACGAGATCTCATATGCTACCACATAATGCTTGTCATACTGACTAGTCGTGTACAACACCATTGTAATGTAAAGGACATCTTAAAAAGGCATCAAAAAAAATATTAGAACTCATGGTGCTTTTGTTTTGGTTTAGCAGCCTGCGACTAATCGACTATATTTTTAACGATTGCACCCATTGACCAACCCCTGGTTTAGCAGATTACAGCTAATCCACAACATGTTATTCTCTGCACTCCAGCGAGCAATGCCCGCCATTTCTATCCACTGATTGCTGACTGCGCTCAGCCGGATTTATTTCCTATCACCATTTGACATCGATTAACGTCAGTGTAGTATTCTTGTCGAAAATCTGACAATCTTTGTAAAATTCGAGAACTACAAATAGAAAAAAAGGTGTGCGTGGTAAAGTAGATTAGCTTAGCTGTAATAATAATTGCACGATTAGGAAAGCCATGTTTTCTGCGTATTGGTCTTATAAAAGACATCTTTGATGATAAAAAATTAATTTATTGTGCTTTGTTCTGGTGATCTGACTGCCGCTAATCCACAATCTTTCATTCTTTGCACACTCCGGTGAGCAAAGCCCGCCATTTTTGTCGACAAGTGCGTTATTGTTGCTCATGTACTCCTCTGCTTTAATCCAGTTTTTATTAGCCTTACATACATGTTATTCATCAAACATGAAGTAAACCTAGACAGTTAAGAAAAAATACAAAACTGTCTGTCATTTTGAGTCACCGAGATCTCATATGCTACCACATAATGTTTGTCATATTGACTAGTCGTGTACAACACCATTGTAATGTAAAGAACATCTTAAAAAGGCATGAAAAAAAATATTAGTACTCATGGTGCTTTTGTTTTGGTTTAGCAGACTGCGACTAATCGACCACTTTTTTTAATAATTGCACACATAGGGTAACTTCCTGACCCCATTTTCATCGATCAGTGCTGCCAACCAGTTTCTTTTTGTAATAACAGTATAATTTATGTCGATTCAAATCATTTTTAGTAGCCTTTTTGAAACTTTGACAGATATCATTCCCTCAGCATTAAGAAAATTCAATCAAATGGAAAAAAAATAACTTTATTCATAGATTCAATTGCTATAACAATTGCCGTCATTTTGAATGCTCGCGTCCAACTACACCATACTCTGACCTGCCGCCAATTCCACTATTGAACTAGTTGCAATTAAATGACCATATCCGTCGTGAAATCTCTTCACATCTAATAGCTTCAAAAAAAAAATTGTTTGCTCGTTTACTTTTCATTTCACGAGCGGTATGTTGTTGTTTTGTGTAGCAACTTTCAAAGACCAGAAACTTGATATGTTTGGACTGGAAAATTATTATTCGCGAACCATTGCGCGCTGAGTGAACAATATTGATACATGCTGTCATTGCTAAGATTACATAAGGATTTTTTTTTAAGAATCTCAGCGGGCCAGATAATAGATTCTTGTTTCTAATTGGTAAATTGCGCGCTCTTAATCGGTTGAGCTTTCTACTATACGGACCTCGGTCCGGTTTTTTTTTTCTGCGTACCAATCGTGGCAAAGGGGAACAAAGAATTCCGGCCCCAAAAAAATTAGTTTTTCACGGGCTTTTCTGGAAATCTTTGATCTCGCTCCAGCTGCTTGTTTGCATTCAGCGTCACCCACTTTGTGTCCGTTTTTTATCTCTCGTTACCCACCCTCACATACGATACCTGTAGAACTGAGGGGGTGGAGGAAATGTCCTTACCCCTCACAAGAAGGAAAGTGTAGTGGATCGTGAAGGGCGTTCTCCTGACGTCAAGGCTATCATATTGGTTTCCAGAACAAACAAATGGCGGCCAAGTTAGCGCTTTTGGATTTGAAGTTTTTGCTGAAGTAAATCATTTCTTTTTTCCAATAAGTTCGCATAGCTGTTATCACGTGGGTGAAAGTGATCAATTACATGACTCGAC